TCACGTGACTCCAGTATGATATCATGTCATCCTGTCTAGATTTGATGTTGGTACCCTTCTGTTTTGGTCTTGTGCACTGTAATAGGGAGCATTGACCATAACGATCAGGGTCCCGTTCCTCAAAGCGATCGTAGCGCTAAGACAGTCGTAAGTCTATGTTAAGGTATGGGAGTTACGATCACCTTAGCGCTACGATCGCTATCAGGAACGGGGCCCTGAACCGGAAGTTGCTGTTTCTCCATCTATTCCAGAAAGACTTGACTGTTCATTTCGTTATGATAATCTTGGTTATCTTTAGATTTGGTACGAAATACCAAGCACAACCAGGAGGAAATCTTATTCTTTTACATCCTGCATACAGAAGAATCACCTCACCTCACCTAAAGGTAGTTTACGAGAGGTTTTCACTTCTTATGACCTAACCGATGGTTCACAATGTGACATGCACTGACCCGTGTGTCATGTAGGTAAATATCCGCTTAAAGTGTATGGTTCGCAGGTAAATGTTTCTCAAAGACACTACATCCTTCCGTTCACATAGCACATACCTACATTTACATCATTGTTTGTCAAACAACTTTTCCCCTTCTTCATGCCAATGTCTGAAATTATAGAGACGTGTTGGTATGGACAAACACCTAACTTTGAGACAATTTGTTACTTTCGAATGTATATTTATTTGCCTTTTTCTTCGGTGCGATATTGCAGCAAACATGCTATAATGTGAGGTAAGAGACAAGAGTTATCTCCCTTATATACAAAAGAAAAAGACTCAAGAAGATTCTCCAACTCCCTGGGTCAGAATATATAGAGGAAAGGCCTCTAGGATTGTAGTATCCTGTAGTACATTCTAGAAGTCTGTCGAAATAGAGCACAAGTCTAAATATGGAGCAGATCACCGTCTCTACTGAATGTCAACATCTACATTGTATTGCACTTGAAACAGTGTTCCACAACGAACAACACTACCACGTAACAATACCATCAAAGTGGCAGAAGGCCATTGTCGATCACGTCTTAGAATATTGACAATTAGAACAAACACACTATCCTTAGTCGTTGGCGGATATTCGCTGACTCAAGACTGAGATACCAAGCAAGGAAGCTTGGATTCAAGATGGCAACGGAGCTATGGTTTTGAGTGGGATATGCGCAGTGGTGGCTGGGAACACCATTAACGGGCTTCACACGCTGTATCTATTTGGGGAATCGAACTCGATCCTTCGGCGTGACGAGCGAACGCTTGACCACAAGGGTACCCCATCCCCCAGCGATATGTAAGGGGCGTGGATGGGATGTAGAGAGGATGTGGATGGGATATATATTGGGCTTGGATAGGGTGTGAAAAGATGTGGATGGGATATAGCTGGGGTGTGGATGGGATGTAAATGTGGTGTGAATGAGATGTAAACATGGTTTGGATGGGATATAAATGTGGCGTGGTGGGATGTTAATGTGGTGTGGATGGGATATAGATGTGGTGTGGATGAGATATAAATGTGGTTGGAATATAGATGTGGTGCGGATGGGATACAGATGTGGAGTGGATGGGATATAGATGTGGTGTGGTTGGGATATAGATGTGGAGTGGATGGAATATAGATATGAAGTGGATGGGATATAGATGTGGAGTTGATGGGATATAGATGTGGAGTGGATGAGATATAGATGTGGTGTGGATGGGATATATATATATGTAGTTGGGATATAAATGTGGCGTGGTGGGATGTTAATGTGGTGTGGATGGGATATACATGTGGTGTGGATGAGATATGAATGTGGTTGGGATATAGATGTGGTGTGGATGGGATATAGATGTTGTGTGGTGTGGATTGGATATAGATGTGGTGTGGATTGGATATAGATGTGGTGTGGATGGGATATAGATGTGGTGTGGATGGGATATAAATGTGGAAGGGATATACATGTGTTGTGGATGGGATATACATATGGATGGAATATGGATGTGGTGTGGATGGGATATAAATGTGGAAGGGATATACATGTGTTGTGGATGGGATATACATATGGATGGAATATGGATGTGGTGTGGATGGGATATAAATGTGGAAGGGGTATACATGTGGTGTGGATGGGATATAAAAGTGGTGTGGAAGGGATATAGATGTTGAGTGGATGGGATATAGATGTGGTGTGGATGGGATATAGATGTGGAAGGGGCATACATGTGGTGTGGATGGGATATAAATGTGAAAGGGGTATACATGTGGTGTAGATGGGGTATCTTTGTGGATGATATATTGATGTGGATGGGATGGGATATAGATATGGAAGGGATATACATGTGGTGTGGATGGGATAAACATGTGGTGTGGATGGGATATAGATGTGGAGTGGATGGTATATAGATGTGGTGTGGATTGGATATAGATATGGAAGGGGTATACATGTGGTGTGGATGGGATATACATGTGGTGTGGATGGGATATAGATGTGGAGTGGATGGGATATACATGTGGTGTGGATGGGATATAGATGTGGTGTGGATGGTATATAAATGTGGTGTGGATTGGATATAGATGTGGAAGGGGTATACATGTGGTGTGGATGGGATATAGATATGGAAGGGATTTAGATGTGGTGTGGATGGGATATAGATGTGGTGTGGATGGGATATAAATGTGGTGTGGATAGGGTTAAAATGTGGAAGGGGTATACATGTGGTGTGGATGGGATATAGATTTGGAAGGGGTATACATGTGGTGTAGATGGGGTATTTATATGGATGATATATAGATGTGGTGTGGATGGGATATAGATATGGAAGGGATATACCTGTGGTGTGGATGGGATATAGATGTGGTGTGGATGGGATATAAATGTGGTGTGGATTGGATATAGATATGGAAGGGGTATACATGTGGTGTGGATGGGATGTACATGTGGTGTGGATGGGATATAGATGTGGTGTGGATGGGATATAGATGTGGAAGACTCCAGGAAAGTTATGTTCCTAACATATTAATTATCCTTTAAAGACATGAAATTTGACAAAACAATCGAAAGAACTACATGTTTTTTTCTTTTTTTGTGTGTGCATTAACAAATATAACCAAGACAATTTAATAATAACGCTAACCAACTATTGTCGATGATTGATCGGTCGTAATGAACCAATCATCAATTATAAGATTTTATTCCAATTCCCAACACTAGTATATACATGTGGTATGGATGGCAGTGGCGGATCCAGAGGGGGCTTCAGGCCCGACCCCATGGAGCTTTCGCAAAACCTCAGAAAGCAAAACCCATTTTACACCAGGATGTAGGCATTAACGAGGCACTCCCCGGTGTTTTATTAAGGAACCGTTTGCTTAAAATGTTGGCTAGGGTGGGGTTGCAAAACATGTTTACAGTCCCTAGTCAAATTTCATAATCGCCGTCAACCCTTTCTCCCCAATAAAAGACCAATAAAACTCTTATATGATGTTATAAAAATATAAATTACCTCTGTAATGTAAAAACCACTGACCTCTCATCCTACCGATTGTGAAATATATACCTGTTGTTAGAATTCATTTAATACAATGACATTATCGACATGTAATCACGAGTCTGAACGCTGAAAGCTCACCACCTCACTGCAATGCAAAATAATGTCGTCTGCTGAAATGCGCAGTGAGGTGTGACTTGTGACCTTTGAACTTGTATAATACAACCAACAGCCAATCCACGCGGGGTATACTCACTGAAACGCTCTTACATTGACTTGCAGAGTGGAAATATAAATATCACGAAGTGGGCGATTCAGAGTGTTTGTCTTGCGAGGTGAGTCGAATGTTAATTCCACGCCACCAGACTAAACGAGGCAACTCTCGCACTTGGCTCTTTCGTGATCAGGATTAACTCAGGCCTAAATCAGTGCTGTGTTTGTCGTGATCGTGCATGGTAGACATTTGTTTGGGGAGTGACTTGCACATGTTCAGCTGATGTCAGAGAGGGAGAGGAAAACTGTTGGAATATGGGACACTGTAACAGCACTGTCAACAATCATGCCTGTCGCAAATGCTCCCAGAGATACGCATGTGCTGGGGCGGACGTTAAGCTTGATCTGTAACGTTTAGCAGACGGCGAGAGTTTGGAAGGCCCATTGCTGTTGTCCACGCCCCAGCTGTTGTGTTCACAAAGGTTAGTTTCTTTAAGCAGACGACAGTTTTGAAAGAAACAACTTGTGACCCTATTTCATCGAGAGATTTGAAAGACACACAAACCTGTTTTCGTCTCTCGGTGGACAGTTTCGGAGGACCCACATAATGCTGTGTTTTGTATTGTTACGTTTGGTTGTAATAGTCGCCACTGTCCTGACCGGTGAATCTGTCGGCACCAGTATCCCCGTGGAGGACGTGCTACAGTGCTCCCAAGGTGAAGTGGAATGCTGTGCTAACATGAGAAAGGACAGATTGCCCAACCTCATGGTGAAGTACGACTGCAGTCAGCCTGACAACGCCACCCTTGTTTTACCACCAGGAACCAACAAAACATCACCTTTTCGACTGTTCTTTTCAATCCCTTGCCTCACACGTCTCCCTAGAGATCTATGTGATTATCCCAATATTGCAAGTATACGTGTGGTAAACGGTTATATCGAAACTATTCCCAGCCTTAGCTGCCTGAAGAATTTGATAGCTTTGGAACTTTCCAACAACACATTTACAACTGTTGAGACTGGCGTGTTCCTTGGTTTGACAAGGTTGAGATATGTCAACCTTGCTCACAATAAAATACATACTATTGAGCCAGGAGTGTTCACTGAAGATTTACGTGGCCTGATGAGAGTGCACCTTGACTATAACGAGCTGACAGCGTCTGAGGCCTGGCCCATGAGGATCACTCACGAATTCTGTTATTTCGACCTCTCTTTCAATAAGATAAGCCATTTCTCCAATAAAGAAAACTGGTTCGTAGACGTATCCAAGCATTATGGACCCGGTATGGTATACTTCTCTCATAACGTGTACACGACATGGGTGTCAGAGGAACTGAAGATATATGGAGTTCATGACTTGAAAATCATTGGTATATATATGGCTTGGGGATTTGACTTCAGATATAATAAGTGGATCTGTGATTGCAATTTTCATGAATTTCTCCACCTGGCGTCGAATTTACCTGAGGTAATATGGAGGGATACTTTAATGTACTCTGTGACAGCCCAGATCATCTCAAAGGAAAGGCAGTATTAGATTTGCCATTGGATGCATTTGTGTGTAACGTAACAGACAAATGTCCTCGAGATTGTTTATGTCAAGATCAGCCCGAGAAAAAGCAAATGTTGGTTGACTGTCGTGGTAGAAACTTTACACATTTGCCGTCTACACTTCCCGACGGAAATTTAAAACTGCTTTTTGATGATAACTCCATAACCTCATTGAAAGCAGTAGGTTACTTGCAGAGAACAAAATACCTTCACTTGTCCAGAAATAATATTAAAATGATAACACCTACAGCGATTGACATGTTGCAAAATGGCGTTGAATTTCTGGGATTATCCGACAATCTCCTGGAGTCTTTACCGAAAAAGATCCAGAACATTCCTTATTCTAAACTGGAAATCAAAAGAAACCCATTTGTGTGTAGCTGTTCCTCCACGTGGATGTCACCGTGGCTCAGAAACCAGCCTGGGAACTACAACGTCACCGACATCACATGCTCCACCCCAGCCGACCACACGGTACAACTTGTGCGAGCAAACAAGAAGTTACTTAACTGTCAGGTTGGCAGTCCTTTTCCTAAGATATTCAGCGCTCTGTTGGGGACATTTGCTGTCATCTTTATGCTTTTGTTGATTCTTGCTGTACTGTTTCGCTACGAGCTGATGCACCTTCTCCATACAGGTGCGAAGAAGCTAAAGCGAACCAGCGATGACGTTTCAGAGTACGATTTGTTTGTGTCGGTGGACGGAGAGTGTGAATATGACAGAGTCTGGTCTAAGAAATTACTTAACGAATTGGAACAGAATTACAACCTCAGACTGTATTTTCCACTCCGTGACATGGACCCTGGGACCGTGATCACTGATGAAGTCATCAAGACGCTCAAGAGAAGCTGCGCGGCCGTCATTGTCCTGTCCCGTAGCTACGTGGAAAATCCCTCTAAGATGTTCGAGTTCACGGAGACCTATAACATCATGGTCCGACAGCGGCTTGGTCGCCTGATTGTCGCAAGACTCGACAACGTCACCACTGCAAGTAATGGCTACCTGAACGCGTTTCTAAGGCTAAAGAAGTTTATTGATGCTGACAAGTATGACTTGTTCGAAAAGATCGCGGACCAGGTTCAGGAGGAGAAATCTTTGCATCTAAACAATCGTTCTCTATCTGTCAGCGAAGTTGAAATCATCACGGCCTAAAGGTACTGCCTTTATTGTGACAAGATTTTGGCAAGATCAATACTGCTCTGTGATTCCTGCTGTTGCATGTAAAGGCTCGGTTCTTCACCAACTACATCAATGTATTGTATGAACCAAATGTTAGTGCTAAAAGGTGTTCGTGATGAAGCTTGTGTATTATTGACTTCACGCTTAAGTGCTTAAAGGTAATCGTGATGAAGCTACAATATTGATCACTTCCGACTTCAATACCTACAGGCCATCGTGATGAAGCTTCTTTATTATTGACTTCACGCTTCAGTGCTTAAAGGTAATCGTGATGAAGCTACAATATTGATCACTTCCGACTTCAATACCTACAGGCCATCGTGATGAAGCTTGTTTATTATTGACTTCACGCTTCAGTGCTTAAAGGTAATCGTGATGAAGCTACACTATTGATCACTTCCGACTTCAATACCTACAGGCCATCGTGATGAAGCGTGTTTATTATTGACTTCACGCTTCAGTGCTTAAAGGTAATCGTGATGAAGCTACAATATTGATCACTTCCGACTTCAATGCCTACAGGCCATCGTGATGAAGCTTGTTTATTATTGACTTCAGGCTTCAGTGCTTAAAGGTAATCGTGATGAAGCTACAATATTGATCACTTCCGACTTCAATACCTACAGGCCATCGTGATGAAGCTTACACATTGATGGATTTAGTCACTGTATGAATCGTTGTACATATCAATGTAAGGTCACTGTCTGACGGTAAGACGAAGTTTACTGTATCGTGTCAGGCTATGAATATTGTTCCCATTTCTTGCCATTTTGCCATCTTAACTTTGTACTCAGTATTCTGTATGTTGTGTTTTACCAAATATAGCTTTCACAGTGTTGCAATATAAATGGCATTGACCTAAAGGCGTTGACGTTCAAACATAGAGTAGTGGGAGAAACGTTTGGGGTCAATTTGAATCATAATTTGTATATATACATATGAATGTATGTGTGACTATGTACATGTATACAAATATAACGATTAATGTTACGATTGTCCATAAGTTTAAGATCTCACTCTGTAATGCTTGGATCAATTTCATAAAATACACATTGTATATTTTTTTTATTGTTTACTGTATTTTGTATGTTCTTTGATACATAGTTTAACTGTGTTTGTTTCAAACGTCGCTGCCATGTTGCGCAATTCTAGATATGTTGGCGTTACACTCCCCGACACTCGGATGTTATCAACTTGTGCAAGTTAGACAATGAACTGTGTAGGGAGCTGCGTGTCGTTGTGCAGAGATGCATGCCCAACAGGATCTGTAATTCTTGTGCTCCAATTCCGGATGTGATATTTGATCTGTTGACACTACAATCATACAGATCGTACTGAACTTGACGCCAAATGTCTCCTAGCTGTTGACGTTCAGCAGACAAATGTGATAGAACTGTATGTCTTTGCAGAGCAGCGTTACGTCATCTCGTTTGTCCAAGTCTCGATAATGTTTGGATGTAATATCAGAATCTCTGTCAGAATCATTCAGTTTGTAATTTTCTACCGTTATAAATAAAAAATATTTTTCATATATCATGCAAATGGATTCTATAGTTGTTGCATGGCTGTGCTGTGCATGGCCTGATGGATATATGTTGCCTGTAGAATCAGTCCACAGAGTCAGGCGGTGTAAATTATTTTGTGCATATAAAATCATGAGAAGAATATGTTTTGTTGGTTTAACCGTAGATTCTCATTTTCGCTAGACATACCAACCAACTGTGTTGAGTGAGTGAGTTCAGGTTTTACGCCGCTTTTAGCAATATTCCAGCAATATCACAGCGGAGGACACCAGAAATGGGCTTCACACATTGTACCCATGTGGGGAATCGAACCCGTGCCTTCAGCGTGACGAGCGAGCGCTTTAACAACTAGGCCACCCCACCGCCCCATTCCTGTGGTGACATAGTCCACTGTTGGCAGCTAAGATTTAAACACTAATGTCATCTACAACTTTGGACCCACTGATGCTCACCGTGGCCTAGTGGATAGAGTGGTGGCTCTGTGAGCGGAAGGACAATGAGTCGATCCCCTGCTGGGTAATACCCGTTAAGAGATGGTAATTATACGTAGTCAGTATAGTGTATCTCATTGGTGTATCTATGTTAAATTGTTACATTCTATTGTGGTGAGCGGCGGCAAGAAAGTTGTTCCAACTGTTACTTTCTTTTAGACAAGAGGGTATATACATTCATATTTTCCGGCAGCGGGCATATAACCAAACACTACATTGAATATCTATAGCATTCATGAAGGAATAGAATAACAAGGGGAATTCACTGACTTTCAAGGTGTCATATTCTAATATTGGCCAGCTCAATAACAGCTTAGCTCTATTACACATGAGTTGATGGTATTCAGGGTATTTCACCTTGGTTGGGACCAAGGTTGTCTCTGTGGTTGGATATTAGTCGGTGTTCATGTCACGCCAACTGTGAATGTAATTTGCTTATGTCAAAAGATGTTTTTATTTACCTGTAAAGCATATACACATTCTACCGTTTGCCTGTTGTGTCCATTATGTGAGTTTAATGACTATAGACGACGGTAGTTATGTTGAAGTCAAAGACGCCGATTGAATTTAATTGTATGTCTTAGGTTGCTAAACCCGACACCTTTTACCGCATTTATTCTATGACTGGGTTTAGCTGTCGTTCCTCGTGTGTTCAAACGTCATGGAGCATTATGTAAGGTTCTACAGGGAATGCAGCCAAACACACACACAAAAACCAGACAAAACAATGTATGTGTGTATCTGTGTGTGTGTGTGTGTACATGCACATGCTCGTCCGCACGCAAACATACCTAGATACATATATGTAGCAGGGCGTGGAGTCATCCCACAGATGACATCCTTACCTTGTCAGCTTTCTGACGGGGTTAACCTCTTTGGTCATGTGGACAAGGCGTCCGACTTCGGATTAGAAGGTCCGTGGTTCGAATCCCAGCACGGGACTCGGAAATGTTATGGCCGCTACATATATACATACACATACCCAGACTCTCAATCGTCGTGTTCAGTGTGGTTTGATACACTAATGACATGTACACGCTTACTGGAAGCATATACACGCGTTGAATCAGCCAGAATATTAATATGATAATGGACCAGTACTGTAGATATATATAGATGGATACAACCTACATAAGGATAATTGTGTGCGTGAAAGTAATACCATTTATTACCTACGAGGGCGAACATATCGGGGTTCATATTTTTCACACGATGCCCTAGGGCAAAATATCACTTTGTCATGGTGACGTGACGTCATGAACAATGCTATGACGTCACGTTTCTTCTGTGACGTTGCGTTCTACATGCGGCGTCCGCGGGTAGCCAGCCTATGTTTGAAAGTAGATTATTGGGTTTATTTTCCTCAATTTGACGACTTCGGTAATAAACAGAATATTATATTCGTGCCCATGTCATACTATGTTTACGACACTCTTGCCTATATATCGGTATATCCCTCGCTCTCGCTCGGGAAATACCAAAATTTAGGCACTCGTGTCGTAAACACAGTATGGCATGGGCACTCATATAATATCCTCTATATATCTCTGGACACGCCTTGCACCGGAATACAGCGACTGTTAGTTGATTTGTTCGTGATGGCGCCCATGTGTATGTGCTTTAGGGCCTGTGTCAGGTTCCTTCTATAACATGATAGTCATCAGATACAAACTCTCTGTCCTCTGTTGCCGCCAGCTATTCTGTTTTAACCCCGTTCTGTTCTTAACAGACGCGGACGAATTACACACATTTGTTTTATTAACCTTAGTAGTCTTGAGAGACACCTTGAGGCAGGACATATACAGAGCCACGTGATATTCCTATATACTGTAGAACGAACCACGGACCTTCCGCTTACTATTGTAGGAAGGGTGACATTTGTCAGGTGAATTAGGGCAGTAAGTTATTATAGTCAATGTCACTGTTCAACAGACGGCTTCCGTGGTCTGGATAAAGTGAATAATGATGGTTCGATCCGGGGCGCGTTAAACCAAAATACCTTTATAGATGCTGCTTGTTGTTGCCATGACTGGCACTCGGTATTAAGGGGGACAACAACTACTGATCGGCTCCGAGCCAGTATACTGCAGCTGAGTGGGGTATCCGCGTTACAATGAGGTATAGTGTCTCCATGGGGAAGCAGCCACACACTCATACACATGCATGCAGGTTGCTAAGTAACTGCAGTAATCAACGAGACGTTTAACCCTATTAACCATGTGAGGTAATCATGACGTGCTTGTTATTAACTACAAGGGTTAAGTACTGATGCTTACTGTTCTGCAGTATATACACTGTATATGTAAAATAAAGAATATAATTTTTTTATTTGATATCGTTTTGTTTTAGAATCCCTTGCATGTATCTCGCTGCATAGTTGATTAGTTGAGGGAACGTGTAGTGCAGTGCTTGAACTGTCTTAAATAAGCTCTTTTTATAGTGAACAATAAGTCTGGACAAATATACACATGCATGTGAAATTATGTGTTGATCACAGACTATAACCTACATAACGGAAACAGCCAAGGACTAGAGTTCGTGTATATCAAGCGTGCAAGGGATTGTCGCTTGCCTCCTTGTGGAGAATACGTGTCACTGTGACCTGACAATCCCTTGATGAAGTGTACATACAGTCGTAGGTCAAGGTGACCCGTAATGATGAGGCATTGTCAACAGTCATTATACGGACCAAGTAGAGCAGATATAGCTGCACACAGCGTGTGACTTACTGCGCAGCTGTGTGCGGGAGACAGGGAAGTGTGTCTCAGGGTGGGGATTATGAGGGTTCAAGTCCCAGGTGGGAAGCGAGCTAGTCAGCTGGAACTTCCTTGTCAACACTGTACCTACCTGCCTCTATCGGTTATCAAAACCAATACATAGATTACGTACGCTTACCTGCGTTCTGGATGTGTTCTCTACTGCATATGCTTAATTGGCATTTTCACTATCGGTTTCTCCAACAACACTTATTGCTTCGATGTGCATTAACTGACTGTTAGTGTATACGTGTCATGGTAACAGTGTTAGTAGGCTGCATGTTGGTGCTGGATAGAAGTAGAACTAGGGGACATGGCAGACGTTATTGATGTGAGACATACGAGTGAGTGAGTGAGTTGGGTTTACGCCGCTTTTAGCAATATTCCAGCAATATCACGACGGGGGGACACCAGAAATGGGCCTCACACATTGTACCCATGTGGGGAATCGAACCCGGGCCTTCGGCGTGACGACCTAACGCTTTAACCACTTGGCTACTCCACCGCCTCAAGACAGATGGGAAGCAGAGCGCACTGACTATGAAAAGAGTGTCCGTGAAGACGGTGGGCAATGATGTCAACAATGAATATGAGTGTTACACATTAACCAAGTATGTTTGATATACATTATGTGCAAATGAACGTATAAGTGTTTTTGTGTGCGAATGCGTATGTGTGTGCACAAATGTTCAGTAATATATGCATATTTCAAGTATTTATGTATCTGTGAATGTATATCAGGAACATATCTATTTGTATGATCTAAACACGAAAATCTTTTGGTTTTATCGGCTAGTTCGTTTTTAAGGGTATTCTGAATACGCGACAATACACAGTGCAGGTGCCCTGTAAGCAATATATTAACGTCTCTCTCGGCGGATGTGAAGAGCCCCCATAAAATTTAGTTGTACAAAACAATTACCACCAATTACCATACTGGTTTGGGGCAAGGTACAAATTACTGTGGTAAACAATCATGTGAAACCGATTGAAACAGGTAAACATTACAGTTTGTAGAGACGACTTCATCCCGTTATAGGTAATCCAATGTTAACAGCATTCCACCCTTGATCACAATCATATGGATTGTAGAGAGTTTGTATGAAATCTTCTCTACAGTTTTGCCTTAATTGCACTTCCTTCAAGTCTGTTCTGCAATGTGGAATATCATGTCTCTGCCTACACCAAACGTGAGCGCCCTTACATAGGGTGTCAAACTTTCATTACCAAGTCAGTTAACCATGGCTCTTCCGTAAACTTGACATGAAACATACATCTTGACTGGTCGTTGAAACAGAAAGTTCTCTGCTGCTGGTTAGGCCTGGAAGTTGTGGTTGACACCTCGGATGTGGCAGTTTATGTTGTGTAGAAACAACTCAGTTGTTTAGCTATCTGGACCTATCCTGGGACATATTGAAAACCCTGATGACAGCAGACTGCAATTCATGTGAGCCTACTCCTTCTTCTCTCCCAGTTACTCACAGCTTGATCTGGCAATGAGCAGTTTCTTATGGACATGATTCTGTCAACCCAAGCATATTAAGGCTGCTTCATCTACATTGTTCTATTTGGATCCTGCCTTTGATCATTTCTCTGATTTTATTTGAACGATGACATTATACAACAATGATATATTCATGTTTCACATATCGTTTAGATGCAAATTCATTTCATATATGTACATCAATATCATATTTGTGTTTCATTTATAGGACAAATAAAATAAGATACTCCTTTCATTTAGGATCAGTTCAAAGGTTAAATCACGATTGTGCCATACACAGGCATATGTGACATTGTATAATTGAACCGCTTTTAACATTTATATTACCGGTAAGTCTAAAATATAATTAAATTTACATATCTTTGAATTTTGCTGACTCACATTCACACATTTCTCCATACTTGGTATCCTCTTGTAACTGAACAACCAACTCAGTGAAACATAACAACCAAACATTATCTGTTTAGAAAATACTTTATTGGTAGTAGTATTTACAGATAGGTTCCCCAACACCTTCAGAAGGAGAGGTCACTTTAACCTACCAATCTTAGGCCATCAAACATACTGGTAGTTCAAGAAGATGCAACCATAGGTCAGCACGACCTGGCAAAGGTCAAGCTGACCCAGTCAGTGAGATTTGACCATGAAGGCAGAACACTCTTCGAAGGACGTACATACAATACTCGCAGTACTTCCAATTCCTCGAAATTGATATTCACAATAACCTACGGGAACTCAAAACAGAGGACCACCATGAAGTGTTTACTTAACATGTGCAATATTCAGTCATAATAACACCCACCATCTGCATCCTACCTCTTGAATATCTCTCAAACAAATGACTTCTGAAAATCTTTTAAAGAGCAGTTTGGTAGTGTGTTCCATCCCAGTCACTGGAGTAGCTACAGGGAGACATCACCACACCATACCTGCTCATGCACAATGTCCATTAATGTCATGCCAGACTTCCGAATTTGATACCATTTGATGAGAAGATATTTGATATGCTTTGAACAAACTTATAATTAAGTAGTTAGCGGTTAATAATTGGCTTTGAAAATCAAAAATATACTGCTATCGATAAAAAGGTAACCACAAAGACCTTTCTTTCAGATCTTTATCAAATCATCAATGTATGAAATATTTACTTCTTAAAATGTCATTTGGCATTTAAAACAAAATTCTTCATGTATGAAGAGACAACAAGAATCTATAAATGTAATATTCTCATGAAGTGACTGAGCATCTCACACACAAATGTCTGTGCCACAAGGATGCAGGAGTAGTTCTACACTGGCCAATTTGTTGTTCTGCTCAGTAATATTGCTTTCTTTAGGTAAGTGACCATTACAAGGTACATCCAGACAGGTCCCACAACAGTGAACAGTCATTATAACATTGTTAGTAATACCTGGAATCAAACTGTATAACAACACTAATAATATGGGATTAATATACTTTCTTTAGGTTAGCATGCCACAACCAAAACACAAACACGTGACCATGAGAAGGGAGGCAGGAAGCATTTTCAGGAAATTGAAAACATGTTACATAGTCAACTCCTGATATGACAAAGGAGTGAGGAGATTAATAGCATTACAGCTGTTATCTACACGGGGAATGATGACCAAAGTGCCGTGGAATAATAGCTGTTATTCCACATCAGAGCTTGGCATACCCTGAATCAACTGTAAAGAACCATGAAGGACTTGTTCCACACAGTGACTGTAGCTCTAAACTTGTCATAAGGGACTATTCCTCAATTTCCTCTTTGTACCACAACTGTAGAGACTACAGGGGTTTCTATCAGCCATGTGTAAATTTCCCAATAGATGAGTGCCAAACGATTTGCTTTTATTGACAACATTTTATTTTTCAGACCATCCAATATATCAGTGAATGATTTAATCTGTGTAACATGTAAGTATTTTTTCAATTCCCCCGACCAAGAATATACAATGACTGACTCTTAAGTGTACCTTTAACAATATGACAGACACTTGTAGCGCCACAATCACTTTGCAGAACAGGATACTGACAAAAGGCAGAAAAAGTGGTCAAATGAAGAGCAATTGTTTACATTAAAAATATTCACTATTGTTCTTCTAAATATCCTTATATCTAAGAGTCAACAGATCCTGTTGATAGCACTATAGTCCGTTTGGCTCAAAATCGGACTGATGAATTGCAATCTAACTCGAAAACTACTCAACATACAGTACTCAATGAAACACTGATCATAATTAAAACATCAGACCAGCTCTGTGATTTTTTTCAGAATTTATGTCCTAAAAATGAAAAAGTTGTTTAACAAACTATCATTAAAATCTTGACACAGTTCACTATTTGTTATGAGGGAGGGGTGCAAAGAGAGGAACAGCCAGGTGTGCAAAAAAGGATAGAGATGGCACTTTGTCGGCACTTGTGCACATGCTTCGCGTACACCTGGCTGTTCCTCCCATTGTAGTCCTCCCTCGTAACAAATAGTGAACTGTGTCAAAAGTTTAATGATAATTTGTTTAACAACATTTTTATTTTGGGGTCATAAATTCTGCAAAAAAATCACAGAGTTGGTCTGATGTTATGATTATGATCAGTGTTTCATTGAGTATTCTATGTTTAGTTGTTTTCGAGTTAGATTGCAATTCATCAGTCCGATTTTGAGTCAAACTGACTATAGCATCATGGGCCTATTTCAAGGTGTGCATATACACAGTTGAAGGTCCCAGGACAACCAATGGGAGAGTCCATGATACTCGGCCCATACAGCGGTTTCAGTAATTAAGGCAACAAATATTCATCATGTCAGTGTTTGAAAATATCCTTTGTTAGTATCAGGGCAAACATAAACCATACATAACCCGACTGTATTGTTCTGCCCACGATGGAGACGACATGGAGATGAGCAGGAACGTATGTGAGATAACGGATAGTTAAAACAAATATAAGCAAAATATGAACTCTGCTTCAAAGACAAACACAACTATAAAAGCAAGATCCCAGCAGACTAAGACAAGGCTGGACATGAAAACAATAGAAATTCTACCACTACTGTGAGCATGAAGGGGTGTAATACTGTAGAGGGGAAGGGATGGGATATAGAGGCCAAAACAGGGGGCAGGAGATAGTTTTCATGGTGCTTACTACTGCTTAGGGTAACAAGAGGATATTGATGGTGCTTAGAGTAAGGAGACTGGTATTGATGGTGCTTAGAGTAAGGAGACTGGTACTGCTTGTACTTTGAATAAGGATACAAGCATTTATGGAGCTTAGCATAAGGAGACAAGTATTGCTACCATATGGGTTGTTGGTGGTGCTCTCAAGTAAACAACAAAAGGGTGTTTATGGTGCTCTAAGAGTAAGGATAAGGGTGTTACTGGGGCTCTGATGGCGAAAATGAGTGTAGGGATGCACTGCGAAGATAGGTGTAGGGTGTGCTCCAAGAGTAAGGAGATGGGTGCATGTGGTGCTCTAAGAGTAAGGATAAGGGTGTTACTGGGGCTCTGATGGCGAAAATGAGTGTAGGGATGCACTGCGAAAATGAGTAAGGGAGTAGGGATGCAGTAAGGATAAGATAGGTGTATGGGTGTAGGGATGCTCGAAGATAGGTGTAAGAGTAAGGAGATGGGTGCATGTGGTGCTCTAAGAGTAAGGAGATGGGTGCATGTGGTGCTCTAAGAGTAAGGAGATGGGTGCATGTGGTGTTCTAAGAGTAAGGAGATGGGTGCATGTGGTGCTCTAAGAGTAAGGATAAGGGTGATACTGGGGCTCTGATGGCAGAAAATGAGTGTAGGGATGCACTGCGAAGATAGGTGTAGGGTGTGCTCCAAGAGTAAGGAGATGGGTGCATGTGGTGCTCTAAGAGTAATGATATGGGGCTGCAGGTTATTACCCATCTGTGTACAACAGTGTGAACTCAACACAAAAGCAGTGCTTTGGTAAAGATCCTGAAAATCATACATAAAATATCTCTAAAATTGTGAAGTCACATCACAAATGTAAATCATTTTCATTAAGTCTTGAAACACCTGACAGCAACATACACTATTATTCGATATTTGACAAATATCCACACACCAATTTAGGATATGCTCTATAATTAGCACCATAATCATGTTATTTTCCCATTTCTTTAAATAACTGCACTTTCACTGATTCAGTAATGAAAAGTTCTTTCAATCACCCATGAAAAGAGTAACATTGACGGGACTGACTAAAAGACACTATACTATATATCTGGCCTCATACCTGATGTTGTCAGTCTGTGGGCTTCATGTAAATTCTACAGGTGTAACTCTAACTCCTAGGGGTAGTGTACCTGGTTATTGGAAAGCCATGGAGTCATGTGTATTACACAATGCTACACTGGCCCCAAACTGAAAAATTACCCCCTTATCTCATGCCATGTTTTCATGATCTGACCTTGACCCCATGACCTTAGATGACATTCAAAGAACAAAAGGTCATGCCACTCTACCAACTTTGTCTCACTATTAAGCCTCAAAATTTAACTTGCATGTTTTCATAGGAAATTTACATCTGACCTTGACCTTGCCTACTAAACATGGCAGGGAATACGGTGTCTTCACACGAAGCAGACCTTGTATTTCCTTTGATGTTCACCGATCTGGTCTTGCAACTGATTGGTGTTTGTTTAGTGGCTTAAAGATGAAATTTCTTGATTGAAATTTAATAATATGAAAAGTGTTCATTCGAATACTACTTAAGGGAATGGTAATTTGGCAATGGCATCTTTCCTAGCAATGGCAGAGGTACTGCTATGTCACACGTTTATTATACCAACTGCTAGAGGCGGCAGATATTTATGTGTGTGGGGATTTATGTACACACTGAACAAGAGAAAACGAGAATGGATTTCCTGGCGCTGCCTTGACAAGAACAGTGGATCAACAGCTTCGATGTCGAATGACATCATTACATTGGTTAGCAACAACGGCGTCTACAGCAGGATAGAAATCACCATCATGGACTGTGCACATTCTGCTTCCTTCAGCCTTAAGTTGTGCTAGCTTCCATTTATTGGAATTGTACAGAGTTGTAAATATGCAAATAAATGTATAAAAACATATATCTGATTTCATTTTGTATGTACCAGTCTATAACCAAGGTAGACCGATAGACCTAACGAGCTGATCACTCAGGCATATAATCAGGACTATCCGGATTAGTTGAGAATAAACAACATAACTAAAACTGGCTTAAGACTACTGGTCAAATGCACATGAAGCAGACCTGATTTTTCCCTCGCAAAGCTGTAAGGTCTACTTCATGTGCATAAACCAGGAATACAAAATCTGCAGAACATGTGGCAAGCATGTAGGTAACAAAGTGTAGGTAGAGAGGCAGGAGCAACTTAATTCCTCATTTCATATGTCACTTCACCTTTCAATTCAATTACATATCTGAAACAACATCTGTTGTTAGTTAAAATATCAGCAGAAACATTCAAAACCTATATCTTAAATAACCACTGTTCATTGAGAAAGTGTCTTTGTTAGCAGCCAATAAAACAGCATCAAAATATGGCACAACTCATTGAATAAAAAATATAACGAATAAATGATAAAAGTAAAATGTTGTAGGGTAACAACCGATTAACGACCCTTTCAATAACTTTGAAAACATAACTCAGTAAATAAAATAGGGATGTCATGATTCACTGATAACATTCTCACATGATGCAATATGCGACACACAGATACCGGTATCGATTCATATTACATTGCAGCATCAACTAATCTTTGAGTCTGTATCATTTCGCACAAGGACCATCTAATAATGGGATGATTTTGTTGACAAAATTGGCCCTACCTTCATTAAAATAAACAATTTGATCATTATAAACTCATTTTGTATCTACATTGTACAATGTACACAATTTTAAGCTAATTCTGTTCTAGTCAATTTTTAAGAGTTGTTGACAATCCAGTTTTAGCTGAAATAAGACACTGATACTGTTTGAAATGAAACATATATGTATTTCCAAATTGTAGACCATATTTTCGTGAAGTTCCAAGCCTTTTCAATGCTATTCAGGCCCAATGAAATATCAAAATTTAAGAATAAGTGCCATGGATTTTGTATCGTGATGTATTTTGATCAAAGTCATGACATCCCTAATATCTAATGTACACTTAAACATCATCACCAGTTATGGTTCTATAATCCCTACACAATGATATGACCTATAGTATTCATGGTACTCAAGCTTGATACTAACATGGCTACCGTAGATGCATGGGAGACAACATCATCATCAGTTATGGTTCTATTATCTCTACACAATGATACAACCTTTAGTATTCATGGTACTCAAGCTTGATACTAACATGGCTACCGTAGATGCATGGGAGACAACTCTTGCAGGAACCTGTTTTCTTACATATAGAAGGCAATGGGTTTGTCGTCTGGTATATTTGTACATTATTTGTCAAGAAGACGTATTATTTTGTGACAAGTTTATTGCACATGTGTGTGCTCAGCAATTGATTTCTGTATACCATTTCTTCCGGCAAAAAACTATGCTCAGATCTACACATCAAAAATACATTTTGATTTGGGAAAAGAAAAAGTTCAACAAGAATATTAGGGCAGATTTTGCATATCACAGGGAAACAGATATATATTTCTCTCACGGTTATGCCATCAGTCCGATCTCAAATGCTTTACGACGTAGAGCACTTGTTCCTGTCAGGCCTTGACCTGCAAGGAAATGTTTCTGACAGGTCAAGGGAACGCTTGCATGGGTCATGGCCATCTTGAAACAAGTTTCTGTGAAGAAGTGGCGTGTGTCAGTACCAAGGATCTCATCGAGGTATCGTCTGAGTGGCAGCACGTGACTGAGGGGGGCATCCCATAGTGTCAGGAAGTCTTCCACAATATGATGGATGAACTTGGGTCGTGGTAGTATTTCTTGCTTGCCACGCCATCTCATTTGGTGCTCTGAAATATAAACAATAACGCTAATACCTTAGTGACAATGAGTAAGAAAATCACATTCTTACTCTGATCTGCATGAAGATCGCACATCTCAATATCTGACTTCAGTATCTCAGAACACAAATAAAGGTACTTCTGAAAGTAAACAAATAAGGGTTGCACCTCAATATCTTTGCCGTATATCAAATACCATTCCTGAGCACCCGGTATGTGGTTTCACTTTTTGTTAAAATCAAAATTGTCTTACCCTAATGGAATAAAAGATATCTATATTCTTACCTGACTGGCTAAGAACCCTAGGACATTTCCCAGAGAGGTATCACATCACAGAAAATACCTTATTTGATTGGATGGAATGAGTGAGTGACTGTCTGTTTCTGTCTCAGCAATATTCTATGTCACAATGGTCAGTATATATATGAAGACAAGATGGTACGAAAACAGCAACAACGCAGACGAAGAGACAGAGGAGGAGGTTTATGCAGGAGATGTACCTGTAGGCAGATGGTCGTAGTAGTACAACACGGGATGGAGGAAGTTAGAGCGGTGTGCTTCGGAAGGCTCCCCAGTCGCTCGGTCCGCACGGAATATGTCATTTCCTGGCCCCGAAAAGTTGGCCCCATATTGCATGACAAGGGCAATAACTCTTTCAGCAGAGTGTCCAGTGACGGAGGTAAACTGATGGAGCAAGTTGATGGGGAATTCCTCAAAGTATTCAAACATGGAGCCATCCCTGAAAAAAAGGATGAGGTTAATTACTATATATTTGTGTACAAGTGACTATTTCCTGAATTTGAAGAAATCAAAGATTATTTCAAGTGCAGGCACAACCAAGAAGGAAAATACCAAGAGTCATGCTGCATAACAATCAAGTATTTTCTGATTGGCTGATTCTGGAAAGGGAAGAGCTTGTGCTGCTTATTGTGTGGCGCCTCCCTGGTTTTGCATTTTCTGCAATTTTATGTGTTAATCATAAATCAAGCAGTCTGGGAATAGTTCTGAAAGAAGTTACGTGCCACTCTGTTTTTTTCCCATTGCTACGTTTAATCTGTTATGGCATCACAGATTAACTATGGCAACATGAAAGCAGGAAGTAGCAAGAGTTCTGTAACTGCTTTTAAGTAATTTGATCAGTTTTGAATTCAATGTTTTGTGCTCATGGGGTTTTCAATGTAAACACGCTTGCAAATATTGGGTAAACGTACTACATAGATTTACACATTGGTTTATGTGTATACATGTACTTTTATAAATAACATAAACTGAGGATAATTCTCAAAGTCAACAACATGAGCCTCCTTATCGCCTGGTTCACACATATTTTACTTCCATTCACTGATTAGTTCTGGAGACTTCTGGTTGACACAAACAGAGACTGACATGTTCAGGCTCAACAAAACCCCTTATTGACAATGTCGTGGAGAAGTTAAACCACAAAGCTCTGAAGTTCATCTGAATCATGGAGAAAATATTGACAACCATGTTTAATACCAGACAGGAATTCAATGAGCACTTTTTTGACACTCTATAGCTAGGATCATACACACAAGCATCACCTCAGTAGTTTCAGAGATGTCAATTAATGGCAGACAAATGAACTATGGACAGCTTCTTGAGTTAAGATGGGATCACAGAATCACTATACAAGAAGGTACTATTATAGCTACTGAAAGACGATATAATTTAAGCAGCGATCTTACTCATTGAGAAGTATGATGTCTCCTAGTACACTGAACATCTGGTAGATGCCGGACGCTTCATTCATTCTCTTCAGGAGGTAGCTCATCAGGTCTGTGATGGGGAGCTTCTTCGATGGCCATTGCACTCCCTCATACCGCCACTCTAGGAGCATGTGGAGAGCACGTGCTGTGAACAGGTAAAGCACAATTTATAAGTTCATGCCAGAAATAATCCAAGGATGTATTAGTGGTTGGTGGAGGAGGTGAAATGAGTTTTAGGATCATATTAATAATAATAATGAGAATATTTACAACGCGCCTTTTCAAGGCTAGATATCCTGCTCAAATGCACAATCTGATCATTTTTACCCCGGATAACCCAAGCTGCCTGTTAGACGCTAGAAAGTTAATAGTCTCACGACTTATTTCACCGGGTACCCATTTTCTGCTGGGTGAACAGAGGCAGTTTTGAACAAAACTCACTAGCCTAAGGTGAGACCAGATGTATCACATGTGCTTCGTTGTGGGGCAGGACTGAAGTCCTAGAAACTCTCAGGAGTCAAGCTGCCAAACACGGTCACCCACCAAAGGACTCTCCCAATGTTGCTTAACTTCAACTGATTGTGACCTGAACCCTATGCACAGGACCACACGCCACCACAGGACCACACGCCACCATAGGACCACACACCACAAGGGGCATAGCTACCATTATAAGAAAAAGCCCGGGCATACACATGCCTGTTGATAAAAAGGTTGGGCCAGCCCTCAATACTATCTAAAGATAAAGCTTTGCAACCTATCAGGCTTACACGAAAAAATTGGCTTGCAACTCGCGTGGACACCAAGTTTCAAGATTATTCCACTTCCATACTGATGTGCGTACAAGTGTGAGTGGCAACTTGTCGTATGACTGCCAGAGTTTTATAGTGTTAGCCCACTGAGATACCATGTATCAGTTTAACTGGGATGCCAGACACACTAGATGTCAACTCCAGTCCGTGATTCATCCCCTGAATCCCAAGGCAGGGAAACAACAAGTACCATTTTAAAACTTTTCTTGAATGACATGTTCAAGCTAAAAACTTAATAGCTACAGGACATGATGCTGACAGATACAAGTTCAGGCTGTCAGACGCTGTGGCCTGGGCTTTTACAACACAAAAATTAAATTTCGATACAATTTTTTATCAGATTCACCATTAAGGACATAAATGATTCTGAAGCCCCATCAATAACCTCCCCATGCTGACAGAGGATAGATTGCCTCCCTGTGTAGGTACCTGTGTATCGGAAGCCATGGATGAAGCCACCTGCTGACTTCCTGTGGTCCAGGGAGTGGGTGTTTGTGCCAGCGAAGAACATGCCAGGAACTTCCACCGACTCATAGTTGTGCTTGATCAAGGGGTACTTCTTCGTCTTCCCTTTCCTCGACTTACTTTTGTAGAGCTATATGATAAAGAGAGTATGTCAGACATGCATTGTACTCTGTGAACATGAACACACACTGGCCAGAACATTCCACAAAATGTGTCTCTACCAATAAAACTTTATGTCAACTGATAAAACCTAATGTCTACTGATAAAACTGTTTCTCAATTGATAAAGCTACATCTCAAGTGATAAAACAGTATTTTAACTCATAAGATAAAATGTTCAATCAACCGATAAAACAGTAATTCCAGTGCATCATAACTGATAAACATCTCTTCATTGCAGTCCCTATATTTATGAGACAAACATGATTAAATGAGACAACTGTGACACTATTTAAGTGAATGGCTCCCCAGCTGGGCCCTCTGTCTGACATCTCTGGGGCAGGAGCAACCAGATTGTTTCATGTGAGTAATGAGGTATATTACTAAATGTCAGAGTATGAAATTTCACCTCCTTCCACTAGTTGCAGTCACCTTACATCTTGACATGATTTAAATGAGCTTCAGAAAGATGGACTGAGGACCACTTATTTGACTGAAAGGTGTTTGATCAGCAAGAGACTCTGGTACAAAGGCATACACTACTTCTACCATACATAATGACTCCCAGCAATACCAGGCACGTAGCATGCCAATGTTTTCGTGTAAGCTTGATAGGTTGTAAAGCTTTATATTTAGATAGCATTGCCCAACTTTTTAGCCACAATCATGTGTAAGTCCGGGGTATTTTCATAACGGTAGCTATGCCCCTGAATACTCTCCTCATGGTGTAGCCCATTGGCACGTTCTCCTTGATGCCACTTACTATGTATCAGTGAAATAATTTAACAACGAAAATGAAGACAAATTGAATCATAAAATCACATTAGTTCAGACATGCCAGTAAAAGATACCGGTCTATAAAAACTTGCTAACACAAATAAGTTCCGAAGGATGACCCCAATCAAGTTTCTTCATATTTATTTTATTGACAGTCGGACAATCTTTCATCGTGACAGCTATTTAGAAAGTAAATATTACCCAAATCTTGCCACAAATAATAAACTGTTTCTGTAATAAAGAACGTCACTTGGAGACTGCTTTAATGCCTACAAGTCCCTAATGCCCCTGAATGATTCAGCTTGACTGCCAGCTACTTGATCAAGTATGGGTCATCCAGTGGTTGATATTACACAGCCAAAGTTTCAGGACACAAAATTAACCATGTCACCAAATCGGACCACTTGATCTGTTTAAACACCTATTATGACAAGCAAAGGTTGTTAGGAATCAAATCTATTCCTGTATCCCTGCCTGACACTTATAATCAAATAACAGAATATTTGTGATGTGTGAACCTCTTACTTTGTAAAAAAAGAATCATCAAAGTCAAATCCCAGACAGCGAATGATCTTGTCGTAAGGCTCCCTCATGGCGAAGTTATCAAGATAAGACAACTCCATATCTTGTTCGTCATCTGTATTGAGAGCCACAACATATTTATTGTCCTTGGTCTTGACAAACTTCACCTCACTGAGCGATGCCTCAAGAACCCCGTCGAGTGACTTGAGTTGGTAGGTGTCCAACAGGCCATTGTTGACAGCCCTGAACAGACAGAAGAACATCCACACTAACACAAGTGGCCATCTTATCAACAGTTGCATATTTATAAGAAAATATCATCAACAAAACAAATGTCAGAAAGATAATTGATTATAAATTTGACTGATTACAAAATTGAAAATTTTACTATAAATTGTATATTTATATACTTATCCTATCTTACAGTCAACTCTACAACCGTGAGGTCGCATAACACAAGGAGGCCAGGAGAAAGCACCAACTCCAGATATGCTAACTCTGAACTTGTGATGGGTTGCTTCTGATAACCCCTTAGCTTACACAGAACAAAGACTCTAGGGAGTGGGCGGTCCCGAATTAATGTGGTTTTCAGCCGCAACTTTTGACAAGCAAAAGGACACAGTTTGGCAAGTGGACCCCGCCTCCCCGAGATTTATCAAGTGACCCGAGTGAATTAAAGTCGAAGACCTTAATCTGGCCAGTCCCTGCTTCGAAACTATCACCCACAGACATACGCTGGAATGGCCCGGTTGCTCAACTTGTGAACTTGAGAGCGGTGAACTGAAGTGAAACGATGCACTGGTCTCTTCTTCCCTTGTGAGAGCGATGCATTGGTACAAAGTGATGATTGGACAGCAAGCGCCGCTCTGGTAGTAAGCGGCGCACTGGAACTAAGCGGTGGTTCAGAGACAGGTGGTGCAAGGTACGGGAAAGGTGTTGAAAGCGCCACACTGGATACTGCCAGTATCGCCGAACTGATCCCTGTGGTTGAAAGCGCCGAACTGACTGCACTCGCCACATGAGGGTGAACACTTTCACCAAGCGCACCCACCATAGCAGAGGGGGATGGATCGGCACACTGGATACAACCACCTGCCAAGGTAAAGGCGAGACTGTGCTACAGAGGTTGTTAGCACTACCACTCTCGGAGCAGATAAAACTTGTCTGGAGACGGAACTAGACGTTGAGGACGAAAGAGACGACGGAGATACTCGCTCAAGTAGGAGTCTTAGGCCACCTCTAAAGAAAAAACTTCGTCTGGGGACGGTGATTAGATCGACGAACTGCTCTCATCAAACGGCGTTCCGATTTAGCACACTTAGAAGTAGAAGGACCTTCAGCAGTTGTACGTCGATCTCTGTCCGATCTACGTCTAGATGCAACCCGTCGATATTCATAACAAACATCATCATTCAAGTGTGAACAAACAGAACACCGATGTGACCAACTACAACAACCTATACAGTCCACACACAAAGCGTGGGTCAGCAGCGGAAAAGTTGCTGTTGCATTGACCACAAAGTTTGTGTTTCTTAAAAGAAGTTCGATTCGATTTATTTCCCATACTGACAATCAAATAAGGTCTAACTGAGAGAACAACACACGTCAGCACGGTGTAGCGACACGAAAGAGAATGACAGGTACAGAACGTCACATGATCATCTGAGCGATCGGCACGCTTATTGAGATGATTGCTATCGGAGTGGGGGCAGAGGTCAGGTGGTCAGAGGCCAGGAAGTTTTGATTCAACTTAGCCTACAACACATTTCCACACATGGTCGTAGAAGAAGAAGAGAGGTGCATGCCGTGAGAAAGGATAAGGTTAAAAATTATTATGAATGATGGATGAGTGAGTGTAATTAAATGATGCCTGTAATGATGGATTACAAGATTGACAATAGGAAATAATGACAAAACAATCACTTTAAGCACCAAATTGTGTTGTGGTACTTTGCCCCCGAAGACTCTTTCTAAAAGAGATTGCGCCACAACTACCATTTGTCTATTAACAAATTTTTGTTCTTTGTTGGTATTGCAGGTATATGATGTTCGTATGTAAACAATCAAACAAACCAGTGACTGACATCATGAGCAACATTAAGCCATTAAGCCTGACCTCCTAATCCATTAAATATCCATCATCTCATGATCAGCATAGGTTAGACCAATTCCAGCCTGGAATCCCAGCTGTATAAAGTACAGAAGGGAATGACAACTGTATCGGCAGCTTCTTGCTCACCTGAGGTCGCCAACATAATGTGTTGCCCATGACAACCGGACACGTGATCTCCCCACCATATGTATAAGGTTCGTAGATCCATAGATGGCATCACCTGTTTCAAATGCTGCATTGCCTCGACCTGAGAACGATAATTACATAGACATTTGTAAAGATCATAACTACATGTACTTGAATGTCAGTCACCATTTTAACATAGAAAGGCATTAAACATTAAAATAATATCCATGGTCCTTAATCTATCCACTCTGACCATTTAACAAGGTGTTTATCTTAAATGTCAAATTCTGATAACACATAAGGACAAATCTCCTAGCCCTTGGATACTGTTCCTTGTCTGGCAGACTGGTGTCAATTTGTCTCTTATCACATAGGTTGCTGTGGAACAACACTTCTATACAAAGTACTCAAACAATGTTGCCAATTCTATTGTTATTTTTGTTGACATATTTATTCACTCGAATTCAACATGTTTTGTGTTTATGTAGCAATATATCGTAAAATCCATTTTGCAGATTTTCTGTTTTAAAGAGATATGAGGCTTGAAGTATATACATACTTGTTTTTAAATTTAAACTTCCATGCATGCAAATATATTGAAGCCAGTTATTAAATATACCAAATTTAACATGGTTTACATGAACCTCTGCAAGCAAATGGTACAATTTCAGCAAACTATTACAGATTGCTTGGTTAATATTAAATATTTGACAGAAAATAACTGGTGTCAACTTCTTTGTTATGAAGAGCACAATGTTTGGGAGCATCATCTCCTTCTTCCTTCCTTCAACTTATGATGGATTAAGCATACACTCTGAAAGGCTCTGTTTCTCATAATAAAAAGTTGATGTGTACATATTCTCTCCATTATGCATATCACATCTAAATGCAGTCAAACAGTAGGTGAATATACACTTTATAGCACTGTGTGGGCAGTAAGGGAGCTGGAAGTACAGATACAGTGATAACAAGTGAATACAGCATATATTGCTGTAGTGACTACAGTCTCCTCCTCACCCAGTATCAGCACTGTCTGTCCTTCAAAGTCATCAGGATTGATGGACACATCTTCATAACCGTCGGCATATTCAATTCCCAGGACGTTAGGGATGTTGGGCTTCCACAGACCAGTGGCAACTACCACAGATCTGAAACAGGACACAGAGGCACATTTAGTCGAGTCAAATAAGTATTGGACCTTATCTCCCATACAAGTGTCAGGAAATAAGTGCTTTGTAAGATATACTGAGGGAAACAAATAAGGGATCACATGGAAGCACAAGAGTTCCTTTATTTTTTTCCAGGTGTCTTCACAAGCTTTGTATCGCATAACTTGTGAAGAAACCTGGAAACAAACAAGTGTTTGCTACTGATATGGCAATGTCCCCGCCGCTAAAGAATGGAATATCTATATTTACTACTTTTTAATTTTTGGTCACATACAAGATGCCTAAAATGACTGGTGTCTGCATAACCACCCAATGTAGGCTGTCAACATAATTGAAAACATTGGGTGCAATGTTTTATGAGATATCGTAGTGTCGTAAGGTCAAGGTCACCCAAATGAACTGGTGTCTGCGTAATCCCCCAATGTAGGCTGTCACCAAATTTGAAGACATTGGGTACAACAGTCCATGAGATGTCGCGTTAACAAGAATTTTAAAAGTGTTCTAAGTGTCATGGTGACCTTGAAGATAAGGTCAAGTTCACCCAAATCGACTGGTGTCTGCGTAATCCCCCAATGTAGGCTGTCACCAAATTTGAAGACACTGGGTACATCAGTCCATGAGATATCGCGCTTAAAAGAATCGGGACGTACGTATGGACGGACGCCGCTGAATACATAGTCCCCCGTTCCGCGTTGCGGCGGGGGACAATAAAGGAACACTTGTGCTTCCATGTGATCCCTTATTTTTTTCCTTCAGCATATATACACCCCTGTGGGATCATCAACAAAATCAAGGTCTTAAACAGTTTGACACGGGCTGGACCAATCAAAATGAAGGATCTCAACATCGTGGAAGAATTGGTAAATGTTTTCCAGCTAATTTAGTACTGTATCTCAAGTGAAAGAAAACTTTATAGTATATATATCACTCCAATGCCCAAATGTTCTCAAACGAGTTCCATCAGCATTATCATATATTGTAATCAATGTAATTTAACTGTGTGTGAACAAAGCATTAATGCATAGGGCCTCATTGGTCAGAACAGGCTTGCTTCATGTCACAATTTTCACTTCATGAGGAGTTCATGTTAATTAGAAAAATGATAAAATCATAATTCAGGAGAGGACAAACATAAAAGCACAATTTAAGACTAAAATTTTTAACTTTCATACAAAACATTCATGGTATTCCTCTCCGCTCATATTGCTTAGCATCATGGTTTCAGGTCAGAATTTGGGGTGGCAGGAGTGAGTGAGCAAGGTTTACGCCACTTTTAGCAATATTCCAGCAATATTATGGTGGAGGACACCTGAAATGGGCTTCACACATTGTACTCATGGGCACAATTGAACATGGGTCTTCAGGTAAACGCTTTAACCACCAGGCTTCCCTACAGTCCCTGGGGAGGCAGGTGATTACATCACAACGTTTCTGACAAAATACTCTCTGTATAAATACTATCACACAGTCCAACCTGCACTGGTAGTTGACACCACCAGGCTTCCCTACAGTCCCTGGGGAGGCAGGTGATTACATCACAATGTTTCTGACAAAATACTCTCTGTATAAATACTATCACACAGTCCAACCTGCACTGGTAGTTGACACCACCAGGCTTCCCTACAGTCCCTGGGGAGGCAGGTGATTACATCACAACGTTTCTGACAAAATACTCTCTGTATAAATACTATCACACAGTCCAACCTCCACTGGTAGTTGACACCACCAGGCTTCCCTACAGTCCCTGGGGAGGCAGGTGATTACATCACAATGTTTCTGTCAAAATACTCTCTGTATAAATACTATCACACAGTCCAACCTGCACTGGTAGTTGACACCACCAGGCTTCCCTACAGTCCCTGGGAGGCAGGTGATTACATCACAACGTTTCTGACAAAATACTCTCTGTATAAATACTATCACACAGTCCAACCTGCACTGGTAGTTGACACCACCAGGCTTCCCTACAGTCCCTGGGGAGGCAGGTGATTACATCACAACGTTTCTGACAAAATACTCTCTGTATAAATACTATCACACAGTCCAACCTGCACTGGTAGTTGACACCACCAGGCTTCCCTACAGTCCCTGGGGAGGCAGGTGATTACATCACAAGCGTTTCTGACAAAATACTCTCTGTATAAATACTATCACACAGTCCAACCTGCACTGGTAGTTGACACCACCAGGCTTCCCTACAGTCCCTGGGGAGGCAGGTGCAGGACAAAATACTCTCTGTATAAATATTATCACACAGTCCAACCAACGCTTCCCTACAGTCCCTGAGGCAGGTGATTACATCTAACTCTGACAAAACTCTCTCTGTATAAATACTATCACACAGTCCAACCTGCACTGGTAGTTGACACCACCAGGCTTCCCTACAGTCCCTGGGGAGGCAGGTGATTACATCACAACGCTTTCTCTGACAAAATACTCTCTGTATAAATACTATCACACAGTCCAACCACAGTCCAACCTGCACTGGTAGTTGACACCACCAGGCTTCCCTACAGTCCCTGGGGAGGCAGGTGATTACATCACAACGTTTCTGACAAAATACTCTCTGTATAAATACTATCACACACAGTCCAACCTGCACTGGTAGTTGACACCACCAGGCTTCCCTACAGTCCCTGGGGAGGCAGGTGATTACATCACAACGTTTCTGACAAAATACTCTCTGTATAAATACTATCACACAGTCCAACCTGCACTGGTAGTTGACACCACCAGGCTTCCCTACAGTCCCTGGGGAGGCAGGTGATTACATCACAACGTTTCTGACAAAATACTCTCTGTATAAATACTATCACACAGTCCAACCTGCACTGGTAGTTGACACCACCAGGCTTCCCTACAGTCCCTGGGGAGGCAGGTGATTACATCACAACGTTTCTGACAAAATACTCTCTGTATAAATACTATCACACAGTCCAACCTGCACTGGTAGTTGTTTTTGTCCTGGTCATCAAGAGAGAAGTACTGCCCATCTGGCATGGTGTTGTCCTTGACAGCATTTATAGCGGTAATATCCGTGTTGTGCTGCACGTTTATACCCAGCTTCTTCTCGTAGTCTCGCAGGTAGTGGAGCAGCACATCAGCGTGGGGGAACATTTCCTGGGGGACACAATTCATTGTTTGTTTCACAACACTACTGGATTTACTGGGTTACATCAGGCAACTGTTTATTATTAATTCATTAAACATCAGCCTCAAATGTAAAGATGTATAATAGAATATAGTCCTTAAAACAATTGTAAACCTGCTTAAGGCACTGTCTATACCATGATTTTCAAAAACACAGACAAAATTATCTTGTAATTCTGAAAATGGAGGTATGTCATTGTAGATGTGAGGCCTATAACAGGGTTTCACTCTGTGACAAATTTCAACAATAACATTCAACCTGAAGCAAACTCCTTTTCAAACCAACAGGCTTTTGAGGGAATACACTGGCACAGGGACGACAGTATGACTATAGTGTGACAACAGTATGACTATAGTGTGACAACAGTATGACTATAGTGTGACAACAGTATGACTATAGTGTGACAACAGTATGACTATAGTGTGATGACAGTGACTATAGTGTGACTATAGCATGACTATAGTGTGATGACAGTGACTATAGTGTGACAACAGTATGACTATAGTGTGATGACAGTGACTATAGTGTGACTATAGCATGACTATAGTGTGACGACAGTGACTATAGTGTGACAAGTGTTATGACAGTGACTATAGTGTGACAATAGTCTGACATCAGTGACTATAGTGTGACAACAGTGTGACTATAGTGTGTGACAGTGACTATAGTATGACTATAGTGTGATGACAGTGACTATAGTGTGACAGTGACTAGCATGACTATATAGTGTGATGATGACAGTGACTATAGTGTGACTATAGTGTGATGACAGTGACTATAGTGTGACAATAGTGTGGTGACAGTGTGACTATAGTGTGATGACAGTGACTATAGTGTGTGATGAGTGTGACTATAACAGTGTGACTATAGTGTGATGACAGTGACTATAGTGTGACAGTGTGACTTGACTAGTGTGATGACAGTGACTATAGTGTGACATGACAGTGACTATAATGTGACAATAGTCTGATGACAGTGACTATAGTGTGATGACAGTGACTATAGTGTGACAATAGTGTGATGACAGTTTGACTATAGTGATGACAGTGACTATAGTGTGACAATAGTGTGATGACAGTGACTATATAGTAATGACATGACAATGACTATAGTGTGATGACAGTGATAGTATGACAGTGACTATATGACTATAGTGTGACAGTGACTATAGTGTGATGACAATAGTGTGATGACAGTGATGACAGTGACTATAGTGTGATGACAGTGACTATAGTGTGATGACAATAGTGTGACAGTGTGACAACTATAGTGTGACTGAGTGCATGATGACAGTGACTATAGTGTGATGACAGTGTGATGACAGTGTGACTATGACAGTGACTATAGTGTGACTACAGTGTGACTATAGTGTGATGACAGTGACTATAGTGTGACTATAGCATGACTATAGTGTGACGACAATGACTATAGTGTGATGACAGTGACTATAGTGTGACAATAGTGTGATGACAGTGATGACAGTGACTATAGTGTGACTATAGTGACAGCATGACTATAGTGTGATGACATGATTTACTACAGTGTGATGACACTGACTATAGTATGACTATAGCATGACGACAGTGACTATAGTGTGATGACAGTGACTATAGTGTGACAATAGTGTGATGACAGTGTGACTATAGTGTGATGACACTGACTATAGTGTGACTATAGTGATGACAGTGACTAAAGTGTGACAACAGTATGACTATAGTGTGACGACAGTGACTATAGTGTGACAATAGTGAGATGACAGTGTGACTATAGTGTGATGACAGTGTGACTATAGTGTGATGACAGTGTGACAACCGTGTGATGACAGTGACTATAGTGTGATGACACTGTGACTATAATGTGATGACAATGACTATAGTGTGACTATAGTGTGAAGACAGTGACTATAGTGTGACAATAGAGTGATGACAGTGTGACAACCATGTGATGACAGTGTGACAACCATGTGATGACACTGTGACTATAGTGTGATGACAGTGTGATGACCATGTGACAAGTGTGTTGACCGTGTGACAACAGTGTGATGACAGTGTGACAACAGTGTGATTATAGTGTGATGACAGTGTGACAACAGTGTGACTATAGTGTGATGACTATGTGACTATAGTGGACTACAGAGAGACTACAATGGATTACGGTAGGACTAAAGTGACTACAGTGTGACTACTCTGACACTACAAGAACAGGATAAAGCCCTGCTACATGTTACTGGAACCCAAAGCTTGCTTACCTTAGAGTAATGTTTCAACAGTAGACTTTCATCATGACTCAGCAGAGAGTTCCAGTCATGACGCATGTTGAATTCTTTGTTTGTCTGGCCGGTATAGCGTTTGTTTATACTGATCAATTTTCTGTGGCGTGGATACACTGTAAAAAAGTTTCCTGAAACAACACAAACAAGTAACTTTTAAGGTGACAAAGACAGAGGCCAGGATTGATGAAGTGACACCCATGTTTAAACAATGAATATAGTTACACCAATGTGATAAACTTATCACAGCAGCCGTGGGAGATGCAACATATAGTGAGTGAGTGAATTTAGTTTTACGCCGCTTTTAGCAATATTCCAGCAATATCACGGCGGGGGGCAGCAGAAATAGGCCTCACACATCGGGAATCGAACCCGGGTCTTTGGCGTGACGAGCGAACATGTTAACCACTATGCTACCCCACCGCCCCTTGCAACATATAGAGGTTGTGAAGTAGGGACGTTACTCATGTGCACCTGCAGCTGGATATAGTCTGGATCTGTGAGTTTGTACAGAAACAGAAATGGCTGCATATCATAGATCTGTGGAATGAAATGTCATATTTATCTCCAAACATATCAAACAATATTTCACTGTAAGACCATGAAAATCATACATGAAACTACATGGTAAATATAACACTAGCCAAAAACAACTCTCCTGTCACTGGATAACACATCTCCTGGGGTGCTTTACTAAGGCCTTGTATTCCTAAATGATTGAAATTATATCAAAAACTAAAATCGTAAGAATTAGATGATATGATAAAGAAAATATGTTCCCTGTTCGCTTCTGTATTGTAAATATTATGCTGAGCATAATTATATATGCTAATAATGAATTAAAAATAAACTTGTTCACACAATCAAGGAAGGATAACATCCAAATGATTCCTGCAACTATTTTATTAGGTTTCTGTTTAGAATAAAGATGTATACATACTATTTAATATTTCTTATAAACAAATAGCAGTATGTTCATTTCACACAACTGTTGAACAGTTGGCCAAAAACATTTTGGGTCTAAAGTTTCAAGTCTAGCGTTTTGTTGGTCAGTCTCATAAACTAAACAAACGGCAGGTCATTGTATTACCACAGTTTAAACAACATGGTGTACATGTATTGCCATGAAGGCATCAGTACCTAGGAAGCATAACTACAAAGAAATTCAGTACTTCTCTCAGATCCTTTTCGACAGTCAAGGTGCATTATTCAAACCTCTGTTGGCTTTATGGTCACCAGCAAAAAGCAACAGCTAGTACTCAAGAGCGACATCAATATGGCAGACTAATTCTATCTTTGTCAAACATTTCAAGTGAGTGAGTGAGTTTAGGTTTACGCCGCACTCAGCAATATTCCAGCTATATGGCGGTGGTCTGTACCAGACAATCCAGTGATCAACAGCATGAGCATCGATCAAACATTTCAAGTAAAACAACTGAATATTAAAGTACTATTAACGAACAAACCTACCAGAAACATTTGCTCTTTCAAAAATAACATAATCTCTGCCCTTTTGTTCCATGTAGTAGCCAAGCTGAAGACCACCTGGACCGCCGCCGATGATGCAGTAGTCATGCCGATGTAAGGATGATGATGATGAGGAGGAGGAGGAGGCATGTGAGGAAGCGAAGAGGAGCAGGCAGCCAATCAGCAGCAAGGAATGGAAGACACGGGTCAGGGCACTTGCGGTGAGGTCAGGACCAATCATTGCGTCACCTGGTCTTTATCTGCAACAATAAGGATTACACGTTAGTGCCATCATGGTACAGTGTCTGAGGAAAACATGAAAACAGATTTTAAAACATTGTGTTCCAGGATGTATGTAAAGGTTATACAATGAGGATAATGTTTGATCATTGAAATAGTCACTTCAACCCTATGGCGCAGGATTACACCATTTCAAGAATTAATCAGTGTGGTCTAACCTGTCTAAAAAATGGAAAATCTTAAGTGCCAAAAATATAAAAAGGTAATTAAGGTATTTTGAAAGAAATTCTGGAACTCTATGCTTGACAGTGAGAACATTTAGTATGCTGTGAAATAATAATGTTCTCCGAGCTTCGAAAGTTTGTTACCCGGAAGCAATAATCATTCCACCTGTCAGGATTTTGACAAACTGTCCCATATCAGTAAAAAAAAAAGTGCAAGTAAACCAGAAAACACAACAAACACACCCAGTTGTCATGGTAAATGGAAGATTCAATAACCATTATTCCAAGCGACCAGAAACTATCACGAGTTAATAACCAAACTGACAGAAAATATGTTTCCCAACCCTTGTTGACTCACACTGACAAATCAAATTGAAACAAACACAACAGAATTCATCTAGGTGCATTAAATATAAAAGGATTGAACACAATGTCAAATGACTTCATTACAGTCTTAAACTACACCTGTGCTAAAGCTTTGCTCAAACTATTTGTAATTGTACTTTTCCAATGACACACCCGGATACTTTTCCACTCATTCTATTAAATTCGTGCAACAGTGGGCAGGGCAATAGCAGTCCTGCGTTCGGGATGAGAGATCAAAGTAGAAGCTGAAGAGCTACACCTCTGTGAACAGTTTGTTGTGCAACACAGAGCCTACAGCTGTCACTGTACACACTCACTAAGTGTCAGCCATCAAAGGGACTTTGGCAAAACACGCCATCAGATTAATTCAATATGATTTTTCATTCCAAACTCACATCCGTTTGAATGTAACTCCCATTCACATATTGCAAAGAACACATGCATAAATGTATTTGCTCTGCATAAAATCGGTTTACTCTTTAAATCAACCAGCAGCACATATACTATTTCCCCAAAACTGCTCCATTAAACAATGTGCATGGACATTTTCAATTGTATGAGAGACGTCCAGGTGAGAGTGACAAATTGACAAATGACAATATGTTGATGTGGGATAATGATTGAGTTTAGTTCAGCATTAAGAGAGAGAGGGGAGAGAGAGAGAGAGATGAGAGAGAGAGAGAGAGAGAGAGAGAGAGAGAGAGAGAGAGAGAGAGAGAGAGAGAGAGAGAGAGAGAGAGAGAGAGAGAGAGAGAGAGAGAGAAAGAAAGATCCCAAGCAGATGACAATAAGGGTATTGTCAGTTTGTACTGGTACATTTTGCCCTGTTTATAGGTGTTTAAACATTATAACATCCCCACACAGGGAGTTCAACAAATCATTGGTGATCTCTTATATTTTTTATCTGATATAAATCTCTTCTCTCTACTTCAGCTATAACTCATACAACCCATGTGCTCTCTAGAGCCATTTGGCTATCAATGATTTGCCTTGTAATAAACCCATGTTTATTAATATAAAGTAAAACTGATTTGCCAAGAGCCAAATATTGCCGAGTGATGAAGAGTAATAATTCTGTGCAAAGAAATTGCCCAGCAGTATTCATTATTCAAAAATTTACATTTTCTTTAAAAACCATTTTATCCTACCAATACAATTACAGATGTTGAAATATTCAATTCATCTGTCAGAAGACAGAATTAAAATCTCCTCAAACATAAACAGTTTCAGAATCTACAAATAAGTTCTGGAAATGTTTTTGCTATCATTCACCACCAACTGTTAACAAGTGCAACAATTTAAATGCAAATATAAGTCAGACTTAGGCCTGACAATGAGATCTGAAAATATCTAGCAGCATAATTTATTGCTTTGTAAAAGTTTCTCTGTTAATATGTAAATTCTTTCATTTTCTAAAAGGAGGAATAAAATATATTGATAAAACATTTTTACAATCTATATCTCTTTGAAAAAGTTGTACAAGTGCTAATTACAAATTGACTAAAAATTGTAGATTTATTTCACAGACTTACGAAATACTATTAAGAATTCAAAATGCTCAAAAACAACACAACAAACTAATTGTGATGGGTGAGTCAACACAGGTAATGTTTAAAATGCCTAAAGACAAAATTCAACCATTCCGCATACAGACTGATTGTACACACTGTAACACACACAGTCTGTTACTCTGGTGAATATTAGGCCATAATATGACCTGGGTCATGATATTGCAACTGAAACTGGAACGGGAATCTGTTAAACCATTATTTTGTTGGATTTACCAAAAAACTTATGTGGCATAAACTGTTTTCTAAGATTACTGTGAGCGTTACATACATGTAAAAATTACATCAAAAAGAAAAATTTGACATATTTTAAATATGACGGGCAAGGTATGCATATTGGAAATCTTATCCGAATATTTTGAATATATTATAGGATAATGATTACTGCATGAGAACAAGTGGGGCTGGTCACATCTGTTACTGGCTTCAGGTTTTGGAGGTACAGTTTCCTCGTGTCCCTGTTGCCAACAAACACTTGACATAAACATATGAGCAATGACCAGGTGAGCTAAATCCTCGCTTCTGCACCAAGCAAGACGAGTCACATGTGTGTATGATAGAAGATATGTAGAAATACAGTATGCAAATTGGAATCAATTTCATTACAGTGTAAACGTAAAGCCTTAATCTAATTCTCGGTGGTTGGACATACATCCTTATGACAGATCATTTAGTGAATTTCCATATTCAAATGATTTTAACAACACATTTATCCAACGTTGAATGCCATATTTTATCTACAAAACACACTTTCTCCTGAGAAATGTTGTTGCAGTTTGGAAGGAATATTTGGTAGCTCATTTTATTTTTTACTACAAAGTATGTTCAAAATATCGATAAAAGTAAGTGAATTGATTCTTCTTATACGGAAATAGCATAGAATTCACAGAATATTATCTAAATTTACATATCGCAGCTGTTACAGTTAAAACAAGATAGAAATATTCAGATAAAAATGTTTTTAAAACTTAAGTTGGCAGACACTGGCATGTGTTTAAGCATCCAGCATACTTAATGGGCAATAAAGGTTTTGCAGAATCTCTTTGATAAGATTTCAGCAGCTCAAACAGAATTTCAAAGACACCGTTGTACTGCCTGTTTGTTTACTTCAGAAAAGACTATGACTCAAAAGAAGTGTGTATGGTTTTACACCCTTTCTAACATTCCATCCCAATCAACGTGGGAGACTCAGATAGCAGTTAGTGTGGTACTGAATTATCAATACAGGTACACATGATACATTTATGGCAAGAATTTGGATATGGTTTATACAGTTTGAGATACTGTTAAAACTCCTAATACTTAAAGGTCACATGCAACCCAAAAAATCAAACATAATTAAAACACAATTATCACTTATTCATGACATATGATATACATTGCTGGTTATGAAAAAACATATAAACAATATATAGTCAATGCCTGTAATATGTCCAGATATGCTGTGTACTTGAAAAAAACCCTAGACAATAAATTACCTTTACCAAATTGATTTTGAGTTTCTTGCATACAAATATCCTAGAGAACAGTGTAACACAGTGCATAATTAACCAATGTTGTCTTTTCAGCTTGTCTAACTGTGTCTTTAGAGACCTTTGTTTACTGACTGAATCCAGGGACCATATACACAAATCTACTGTAGTCAATAATGCAAAGACATGTCTCGCTCCTTGGATCTTAGATTGTGTTTCTGTGAGCTCGTGACTTATGACTTACAGCATTATATCAAATCAGATATCAGAAATCACCTTGAAACAGCACATGTTGGCAAAATACCGATTCACCCAATAGAGTGGAAATACAAATATATGAAAATAATTGAATACACATAGAAAACTATCAATAAGCACATTGAAATGAGACAATACACAATGGCTGAAACATCTGGAACCGTCCCCGTCTGCTTGTTCAGACGACATGAATTGACAGTCCACATCAGTATGTGAATAGGTACAAAATGTGCAACTATATGGATTCAAGATAAACTTCATTTATATCTTAATATTAGAATATATAAGAATATATTGCTAAATTATATCTATAACTGTTGACGTATAAGGTGTGTTGAATACGCTAAGGGAGCTACCAACAGTAAACATAGTTCACATCTTACAGTGTTTGCTTCACCGTGTACCTGTCCTGCATCTCAATGACAATCATCCTGTACATGGGTGATGGCCTAAAAATCTAAAACAAACATGAATACAGTGATGCTAGGAACCAACCATGGGGTACGTTGCTCCATATGACAGAATTTGAGGTCTCACTTTCCACTGGGGTTATGCGAAGGGCACAAAGATTGTCATACTTAATTTTCAACTCTCAGATATCAATCTGTTATGTAGGTCTGTATGTACGACCAACAATGGTCTGAATAAATCTATACATGCCAGTCAGACCTGAGCAGCAGATGTCACAGTCCGATTATATGTGCTACTATAGCCACAGGACGTCTGTAAACCATCAGGTGTCATCAGACAAACCAGTGACTACAGCTACTACAGTCAGAGGGCGTCTGTAAACCATCAGGTGTCATCAGACAAACCAGTGACTACAGCTACTACAGTCAGAGGGCGTCTGTAAACCATCAGGTGTCATCAGACAAACCAGTGACTACAGCTACTACAGTCAGAGGACGTCTGTAAACCATCAGGTGTCATCAGACAAACCAGTGACTACAGCTACTACAGTCAGAGGGCGTCTGTAAACCATCAGGTGTCATCAGACAAACCAGTGACTACAGCTACTACAGTCAGAGGACGTCTGTAAACCATCAGGTGTCATCAGACAAACCAGTGACTACAGCTACTACAGTCAGAGGGCGTCTGTAAACCATCAGGTGTCATCAGACAAACCAGTGAC